TAATGAGGCAGAAAAGGCCCTCCTAGTTTACCGTGTCTTTGCTGGCAATGTCCTTCTACGTTTAAAATATACATATATTAATTGCGAACGTTCTACTGTGTGCTTATGATGGTCATTTGTTAACATCTTTGAATAACTAAATAAGAGGGTTACATCCTATTTAGAACCGGTCAAAAATGTCCGAATTTATCAAATTCAGCCGGCAAAAGATCGATGGCCCTAAATGACACAGAGCTAGAATACGTGAAAGCTGTCTGTGTTCCTCTTCTTTCGAGGAGAATGATCATGATCGTTTCTGGAGACAGTACGTAAACTGATTCCTAACCAATGCCACTTCTCTTTTTCAATCTGTAGTTTCCTTGAAGATGAAAAATCATTGCCCCTACGTTCAACTGCAGGATGGCTACCAAGTTCCCATGGTCGGCTTTGGAACTTCGCAGGTTAGTGCATTTTTTCATCTATTGAGGGCAGTGACTGCGTGCTTTAGACTGCAGTTCCGAAGTCTTTTGGTAGTGAGAGACTGCCTTATTGGTGTTGGATGTCCTCTCACAATGGGTTATTGGTACACTACCTAATCAGAACCTTATAATCTCACCTACCCTTTGTATTCTTGTTGTTTAAGGCCATGAATGACGTCGCGGAGGCCGCTGTGAGTTGTGCCCTGGACGCTGGCTATCGATTAATCGATACGGCCGCTTTCTACGACAACGAGGCTGCCATCGGAAGGGCGTTGCATCAGAAGTGTCTCACCACCAACCTTCGACGCGAAGATGTCTTCGTCACGTCAAAGGTTGGTGCCTGTGCTGACTGTTTACATTTTGAAAGCAAATGCGCGCTTTAAAACGGCACCCTGAAAATGGTTCAGTATATTTAGGGTAATAGGCATTGTCCCTGAGGACCTTATTACAAACTTTAAAAACAATTTAAGTTAAAATATAAATGCTACTATAAGCTAGAAAGTAACAAATGTACAATGTTTTCTTGCTCAAAACGCGTAAGGAACCTCGTCCTCGGTTTGTTTAAGTTCAGCGATGATACCCATTTAAGCATTCAAGAAGTCGTTCGCCTATCTTGACTTCTTGAACCTCGTCCTCCGCAATATTATCGATAACTGAGCAATCGAACGAAATATCTTGATTTTAGTTTAAAACTAAGGGATGAAAGTGCCACTTTGTCGAATGTCAAAACCTACTAAATTTTGTCTGTATTCATTCGCACCACGGAAGATTTATGACATCTTTGTTTTCTAAACAGAGAATTTCAAAATTAATATGATGGGTCTTAAATTATTAAAGTTGTCGAAAGAAACAAAGTTTGCTAGGATTTTATACATACAAGGAATGATTTTACTCGTTAAAGTATGCGCTCAGATTGTCTTTATATATTGCTTAAGTCAGTGGTGGTTTGTTCGGTCCGGCAGTTTAAAAGGCTTGCAATCGAGAGCCAATTAAATTGTGGAAAGCCTGTTACTTAGCATTGTCGGAATTACATTTCTCCTATCAAAAGGTGTCCAAACTCCGAAAGGAGTGCTTGTCAGTGGGCGCTGTACCTAGTGAATATAGTTGATTATGAAGAACTTCGAACTCCAACTCCTGTAGTCCCGCCCCCGAAATGCTTGCTGTGTCTAGTCCAGTGTTATCCTGCAATAGACTATCAGTTGATAGGGTTAGGCTGCTTTCTGTAGATTTTTGGGGCATTTGGTTCGGCTGGCTCCAGTTTACTTTTGCCGTGATTAATGAATCAAGTTTCTTGAAATCATAATGGATCACACCTGCGCCCAGCTGCTAAGCGCTCGCCTTAAGCTTCTTTTGGCGAATAATGCGATATGGGCTGTGTTTTGGCTGCTTGTCTACTTCCGACCATTTTTTAAGGTTTGCTAGAATACTGGTCGGTAATGGTTATTTATGAGTTATTTTGTGACGCACGTCGCTCATGAGATATGCCGAAGTACAAAGCATCTGACATTAGTCAAGTTGACCATAAAGCACCTGATTCTACAGCTCAACCGTCTGATTCACAGTCTCACGCCCTGTCGGCCGGGATCGGATGTATTCAAACTCACAAGGTAGTGCAGTTTCATCGATTGTGATCACAGAAAGACACATGCCCTTTACGTTTTCTTTTTAGCTTCCATCCAGGGGCCTCTGCGGCGTTCCCATGATGGCATTGAATGCATTATATTGAATAAATCCTGTAATGCACAGACCTAGCTTTGTCAGTACTATCGTAGATCTGACTGATTGTGCAAATTTATAGTTTAACCGTTGCGCGTAATGATGCCCACCGTGTCCACCATTGAGTAGGCACAGTGTTTACTTTTGCGTTACTTGCCACAGATTCTCTTTCCCCACCCACCTTGCTACAAGACAATGCCAATAAAACCGGAGATAGACAGAGGTGCAGTAGG